AGAATAGAATAGAATAGAATAGAATAGAATAGAATAGAATAGAATAGCTTTATTGTCATTGCATTCCACGAATACAATGAAATTTGAAAGCTACTCCAGCACAGTGCCCCAAACACCACATCATAATCATACTACAGAGTATATAATAATAATAATAATAATAATAATAATAATAATAATAATAATAATAATAATAATAATAAAAAATCACAGATGCACTGTTTGATTCAAGACAATTACTGTATTGGAAAAGAAACTGCTTTTAATGTGCTATTTATAGCATGAACCATCTTTTTCTGTTTTGTTGACCTCTAAATACATAGGATATCTATCTGTATAATCTCTAGCTGGCATTATTTTGTATAATTTGTGCCACTTCCATACAAAAGCATAGCTCAAACCAATTTAAGAAACACGATGTACACAATTGCAATATGTTAATAGGAAGAGGTGGTACTCAATATTCCGTTGTGTCATTATCCAGTTTTGCTCATCCATTGTTGAAAACTAAAGAACATACAGGTAGTCCTCAACTTATGACAACAATAGAGCCCAAAATTTATGCTATTAAGTGAGAAATTTGTTAAGTGAGTTTTGCCCCATTTTATGACTTTTCTTGCCACATTTGGTAAGTGAATCATTGCAGCTGTTAAATTAGTAACACAGTTGTTAAGTGAATCTGGCTTTCTCGTTGACTTTGCTTGTCAGAAGGTCACAAAAGACAATCACATGACTCCCGGGACACTGCAACCATCATAAATGTGAGTCAGTTGTCAAACATCTGAATGTAAATCACGTGACCATGGGAATGCTACAAAGGTCATAAGTCACTTTTTTCAGTGATGTTGTAACTTCGAACTGTCACTAAATGAACCGCTGTAAGTCAAGAACTACCTGCATTTCATTATACCCATTCAGGTTGGGGACTTTTTTTGATATTTTAAGGGTGCACAAAATGACAGATGGGTTATAATAAACAAAAAATAAAAATACATGTATTGCTAGGGTCAAGTTGTCTATGCAGTATTTGTTCATTTTTTCTGCTGCAAAAGATCACAAGGCATCCTATGGCTTTCTCACAGCAAGCAGTATTGTTCTTTTTTGGAAAAACTCACTCTGCTGGTGATAAAAGAGGTCATCCCTTTAGAGTCATTCATGATCTTTCAAGGGTTCTTTTGCACTACTAACTGCTAGTTTTGCTCACAGACCTCTTCGGTAATTAGGATGAGCAATCTGTAGGATTGCAAGACCCTCCACCAAGATCCTGAAAGGTCCAAGTGAAGTGGAAAAGCCAGGATAAACTACACAGCCATAATTGGCTGAATGAGTTGCTCCAAAGAACAAGAGTACCAGAGGTAGTATTCAGGAGGTTCTGACCAGTTCTGGAGAATCAGTAGCGGAAATTTTGAGTAGTTTGGAGAACCGGCAAATACCACCTCTGACTGGCCCCGCCCCCATCTATTCTCTGCCTCCTGAGTCCCAGCTGATTAGCTGGGTCTTCTTTTGTTGCCCTACACAGGAGAAAGGAGCTGGAAAGCAGGTTAGGGGGTGGGGAGGGAATGGGGATTTTGTATCTTTCACCTGAAATGGGGTGGGAATGGAGATTGCAGTATCTTTCCCCCTGCCATGCCCACCAAGCCACGCCCACCAAGCCAGGCCCACAGAACCGGTAGTAAAAAAAAATTGAATCCCACCACTGAAGAGTACCCACTGTTGCAAGTAGCCTCACCATCAAGTTGATATGCCATGTGATATGTTGTGAGCAAGCGAGGAGAAGGAGGAGCAAATACAGGCATGTTGCATAAAATGGTCTCAGTAGATGAATATTGAAAGGCAGCATGGTCAATTCAACAGAGATATAGAAAGGATATAAATCCAAAAGGGCAAGCAGATGGATGGATGGATGATCAGAGTCAGACATCTTACTCAGCAATCTGTCACATTATGTACTAAGGAGCAAATACAAGCATGTTGCATAAAATGGTCTCAGTAGATGAATACTGAAAGCCAGCATGGTCGATTCAACAGAGATATAGAAAGTTAGGATATAAATCCAAAGGGCTGAGCAGATGGACAGATAATCAGAGTCAGACTCAGCAATCTGCCACATTATGCACTAAATATTATGATTATTAAACTGCAACAAAACTGGAAAACATCAGGACAAAGAAAACTGGTATAAACTATTACTGTGAACAACTTATTTCTTAGTACCACAAGGCAATTGTGGCACTATGATGTCCTGTTCTCGCACTGGATGACATAAAATAATATCTCTACAAGCAATTTGTTTTTCTTTGTATTCCAGTGATGATGATGTCTACCGGCTTTATAATCTAGATGTCTTCGGATATACCATCCATAGCAAAATGGGCATTTATGGTTCAGTGCCCTTACTCTTAGCACATAAGCCTGATCAGACAGTTGGAATCTTTTGGCTAAATTCCTCAGAAACATTGGTGGAGATTTCTACAAAAGCTTCAATGAAGGTGAGATGCACTATGTTCTGCATGGAAGTATAGCTACCTTGTGTAAGAATTAATAACATTATAAAGCATCTTCCAGCCACCTGAAAATCTCATGATGAGTTGGACAACATTGATCATCTAGCCATCTTGGTCACTGGAAGTTAATCATTAATGTTGGATAACTTTTTTTAGATTTTTTAAAAATCTTACCTTTATTATTTTTTTAATACAGTAAATGCATTTAACATTATTTTTAAATATTTGTATATGTTTGTTTTAAAGGTTTTACCTTCCCAAATTCCAGACATGTCCAAGCAGAGGGTAGTGCCTCAAACTGATGTGCGCTGGATGTCAGAAAGTGGAATCATTGACATATTCATCTTAAAGGGACCCAGTCCTTTTGATATTTTTAAGCAGTATGGACAGCTAACAGGTATTGGCTTATGAAGAAATTTCCTTTATCTCTTTCTTGTGGTCTCCATAATTAATCTACCAACTATACAATATATGGCATGGAAACATGTCTTGATTATTTATACTAAGTGGAAGAATAAAAATGAAATATTTATCATTTAATATGTCTCCAGTTATATTTTGAATGGCAGCACAATCTTCTCTGTCTTCCTTTTCCTCATAGGCACTCAGGCTCTGCCTCCCCTCTTCTCTCTTGGGTACCATCAATGCCGCTGGAATTATGAAGATGAGGATGACGTAAAAAAAGTGGATGCAGGTTTTGATACCTTTGACATCCCCTATGACGTCATATGGCTAGATATCGAGCACACCGATGGCAAACGATACTTCACTTGGGACAAGAAGAGATTTCCCAATCCTGAGAAGATGCAGAAGCAGCTACTTATGAAGAAAAAACGCAAGGTACGTAATGCACTAAAAATAGAGAGAAAGTAATGTAGCTCTGTGGCTTTTTGTATCCACCAGTGCCTACTGAAAGCATCCATTTCCTTGAAAATTTTAAAATAAATGTTGTTTGGAAAGAAATACATCTATGGAAGCTTTCTCTGTCTTTCCCCAGCTAACTTGGGAAGATTTTTGGCTTCTTACATAATGCTTTCCATCTGCTTTAATTTGCTGAAAACCAGTCTAGTTGGGAATTCTGACAATTAGGAATCCAAAGCATCTAGAAGAGAATATCAGCTTATGAAACATAAAACATTCCCGCAACGTATTATTCCGTCAATAATAAGACTATATTGTTATCTCTCATGTTGGCAGATGGTTGTCATTGTGGACCCTCATATTAAGATTGATCCTCGTTATACTATATACTCACAAGCAAAAGCGAAAGGATTCTTTGTTAAAGATCGTAATGGTGAAGATTTTAAGGGCATCTGCTGGCCAGGTAATGAACTCTCTTTGCTTTATAAATCCCTTTGAAGAAACACGTAGGAGGTAGATCAAAATGGATTTTCTCATTAATTGTAACTGACCTATTAGAAAGAAATTGATATGTTCATTATCTTCACAATTGACAGGTTTCTCTCTATTTCTGCCTCTCTTCTTATTTGTGTCTTAACATTTGTCAGAATCAGAAGTGACAGTAATAAAAGGTATCTGTCTCATGTATCATGAAATTGGCTTGAACATTGACATTTTCTATTATTGTAATAGGATATGACACACAAGAAAAAGCCAGTTTTGCTTTTTCTTCCTGAAAATATAATACAATCCTAACATCTGCAGGTCTCTCATCATACCTGGATTTTACCAATCCTGAAGTCCGACAATGGTATGCAGATCAATTTGACTTCAAAAGATACAAGGTTTGTGTTTTGTAATGATATGGTCAGGATCCACAGAATATTACTATCTATAAATGTGATTTCTATACAGTCTGGGTGGCTTAATTTTGGAAATATGGAAAAAGACAAAATCTAAATAGCTTTGGCAATTATAAATAAAATCCACCCAGAATATAAAATGTTGGACTAAAGCAAGACATCTTCTGTATAGTCATCTCTGCGTAAGATATGTAGAGAACTTTTAGCTCATGCAAATTCCATTAGAGATAAAGTTGGAAATAAGAGGAAAGTACCATCTTAAATACTTTATTTGGTTTAACATCTATTTGAATTGAGAAGGTATGTGAGATACCCACTTTCTGAATAACCCCCAAGAAGGAAACCTGATTATCATTCTCTGCTCAGTTGGATCTCTGGCACAAGAGACAGGTAAGATGCCCAAGGAAAAGAAAAAGGGTGCACTTTTCAAAGCAGAGTGAACAAAATAAATTAGTACAAGTATTTAGATACAGTTCTTGTTCTTAACTAATACATTAAATAAGCTTAAATATTGTCCTACAGAGTTCTTCTGAAATTCTTTTTATCTGGAATGATATGAATGAGCCTTCAGTCTTCAAAGGGATAGAACAAAGCATGTCAAAAGACGCTATTCATTATGGCAAATGGGAACATCGAGATGTTCATAATCTCTATGGCTTTTACCAGGTAGGACAAGTACAACTGAATTAACAATTATAATACTGGTAGTTCTTATTATTGCATTGCCTATACTTGCTGATCTTGCATTTTGTCTATAGTTGTCTTAATCAAAGTTGATTATAAATTCATTAATAAAAAACAGTGCCATTATAATCACAATAATAATTTGTTTTAATATTTTTGTACAATAATAAATTATTTTAAAATCTTTGTCGCTGTTAATGTTACTTAAAAACAAACATCAGCAAAATATATTGCACAATATCATATTTTGTTCCAAAACATTACAAAGTACATGACTTTATAATATACAATGTCATTCTTTCCTTTCTTTCTGTTCCTAAGATGTGTCACTTCTGTGTTTCCCATTTCAGTATGTTTTACTCTGTTTTATCATTCCTGGCCCTCACTTTTTATAATTCCAAACACATTGCAACATTTGCTTTAAAAATTGCTTGTACTGCATAGTGATTAAAGTGGTGAATAAGACACAGGACACTGTGAGTTCTAGTCCCCCCTTAAGAATGGGTATGAAACAGGTGGTATTCAGCAGGTTCTGACCAGTTCTGGAGAACTGGTAGTGGAAATTTTGAGTAGTTTGGAGAATTGGCAAATACCACCTCTGACTGGAGATTTTACAGTATTCTTCCCCTGCCACGCCTACCAAGCCACCCCCACAGAACCGGTAGTAAAAAAAATTTGAATCCCACCACTGGTATGAAAGCCAGCTGGGTGACTTTAGGCCTGTCATACTCTCTCGGCCTAACCCACCTCACAATTGTACGTAAAATGTCTACAGAGATTGTCAGTCATCCAGGTCATGGTTGTCCCAAAGGTGCTTTTTCAAAAAGCAACTGGACTTTCTTTGTTTTTTCTTGAAGACTTTTTGCTTCTCATCCAAGAAACTTCTACAGTTCTGAGCTGAAGAAGCTTCTTGGATGAGAAGCGAAACGTCTTTAAGGAAAAAAAACAAGCACCTTTGGGACAAGCACCTTTGGGACAAGCACGTCTTTAAGGAAAAAAAACAAGCACCTTTGAGACAAGCACCTTTTGAACAAGCACCTTTGGGACAGTTGTGAGGAAAATAAACCACCCTGAGTTGTTCAAAGTAAAGATGGGATATCTAATATAACAACAATAATGGTAATAATAATCTTTTTAGCAAATGGCAACCGCAGAAGGGCTGGTGAAACGAAGTGGAGGACTGGAAAGACCCTTTGTTCTTACCCGCTCTTTCTTTGCTGGATCGCAGAAGTATGGTAAGTGTCGATGAAGACTGGCTTTTGTCTGGATTTAACCATTTCTAGGCAACTCAATGATTTGAATGAATAATTTGCTTGAAAGTAACAGAGATGCAAGTATATGTTTTCTTAAGTTTTCGCGGGTACTTACATGTATGGTATTCAGCTTTGTTCGGGTATTTTCCCATGTCATTGTAGTTGTGCTTTTAAAGTTGTAGCAACGTTTCGGCAGAATCTCATCTGCCATTATCATGCTTCAGAAGCCTGATGATGGCAGATGAGATTCTGCCGAAACGTTGCTACAACTTTAAAAGCACAACTGGCCTGAGTCCAAATGAGATCCATGCCATTCTGTTTGCTTATTTCTGAAGGATATTGGTGAACTTCATTTTTAAAATCACCTTTTTAAAAGAAAATGCATTGATAAACAAATCATGCTCTCTCTGTTCCCACAGTCGTGACAGTCATGCTACATGATACATTGTAAGATGTTGAATTTGAAATGTGAAGACATACAAAACACCTGACATGCTGACAAATGGAGAGTAGAACAAATGCTTTGCTGTTGTACTTTAGCCTCTTTTTACATGGCAAATGATTTTTTAAAATAAAAATATTATCTATTCCAGACCTATATTGTTATAAGCTGCCTAGAGTCATCTCCAGATGAGATGGGCAGCATATAAATTAAATAAATGCATGAATTAAATAAAGAAGAGGTAAATAATGAAAATTATAAAAAATAATAATGGGAAAGCAAATTCCAAATTTTTAGGGTGGCCGATTTTTAAGACAGTGAAAATCACTTAATTATAGAGACATCTAACAGGATCTTACGGAGTGCAAATTACATGGGTTCATCTTATTTGTGCTGTGTCACACATACAAAAGAAGTGGAATTTGTGTCATATTAGCGTAACACTGCTTTTGTCATTTAGACACACAAATGTGCATAAAGATGCCCCTGCTTAATTACTTTCCCAAATATACTTACAGCCTTAAACACATATGTGAATTCATAGCACATTACATGGAATATGTGTTAAAAATCAAACCATAAAGAACTGGAATACAGCTCTTCTTAAATCAGAAACAGTGTTGTAAGTAACTTAGGCCTTTTGCAGTTGTGTGGATCCATGGCAATACACAATTTTCATGGCAATACAATTTCCACATAGTCATTAACATTGTAAGGCCGGCAACATATACCTGAAGTGACATAAAGTATGATATATATTTGGAAGCAAAGCCCATTTTATTCAATTGGCCTTATAGCTAAATACAGGTAGCATTAAGATTTTTCCCTGTGATCTGCAGGTGCAGTGTGGACTGGAGACAATAAAGCAGATTGGAGTTACTTGAAAATCTCCATTCCAATGTTGCTGACAATCAGCATTGCGGGAATTTCTTTCTGTGGTGGTAAGATACTGTATTTATATCTTTATCAACTCCCAACTGAACAAATAGCCTCCTTTCCTCTTGCAGAAAGCATACCATGTTCCATTAAAACAAAATAAAAAGTAGTAAGTGAAACTTCTGAAGTCTTAAAAGAGACTTGGACATTTCAAAAATTGTTTGTTTTAAATTAAAACATGTATACATTCTTCAAAATGAGTCTGTTTGGTCTTAGGATATGCTCTATTAATAAATGCGGAGAATCCAAGAAGTTTGAATTTCTCACCAATTTCTGACAAAACAATCTTTTTCTGATGTCCAGCGGATGTAGGTGGATTTATTGGAAATCCAGAGCCAGAACTACTGGTTCGATGGTATCAGGCTGGGGCTTTGCAGCCTTTCTTCAGAGGCCATGCCAATATGAAAACCAAACGTCGTGAACCCTGGCTATTTGGGAAGAAGAACACAAAGATCATCAGGGAAGCTATTAACGAGCGCTACTCCCTGCTTCCTTACCTTTACACGTTGTTCTATCAGGCACACAGCATGGCTGAACCAGTTATGCGGTAAGCCGGTCATTGAAAAGATTTAATTTCTGCTTTATGCCAAAATATTTCTAACAGATACAGAGTTTTTGATTAGATAACACATAGAAATATTGATGAAGTATATATTGAAATGCAGAGCTAGCATAGATGCTAGTTCACTACTTTAGCTGTGATCTCTTAGGACA